TGATTAATTTTCACACATACCTACATATATTGCGACCTAGAGCAATTTTTCAATTTCACTTTATACATGTTGTTTATGTAAACATATTATTTTTCAATAAAGTGAATTGCGTTTGCACTTCCTGGTGGTGCAATGGTGTGGATATTTTTAATAAACTTCATTAAATAGACGTTCTTACGACTGCATTATTAGTCGGATTGAAATTTGATCTGCAGATTCTATACAGAATGACAACGTTCTCAGTGTGGATTTATTATTATTGCTGCCACTGTATACGAATTTCGCATTATATTGCGGGGACGAAAGGGCGGCGAGGTGGATACGAGAGTGAGGCATAATATGATCCTGAGTTGTTGTGGATTTGTGTGCATCCATCGAAAGTGAAAGATTTACGATTGTTTGTTTCAAATACAAAATCCCGCAACGACATCACGCGAACTGAATGCGAAATTAAATTCCAATCCATCGATTAAATCGAAATAAATTGAATAAAAGGCAGAAGAAGAAGCGACAGAGGGAATATCATGGGTCGAGGAGAACGAGTTGTGATTGCCAGGGAAATACCACATGAGAGTTCATGATATAAAACTCGCCCTAGTCGCTCATGATCGATCTGTCTTCACTCGGACCAGGATGCTGATGGATGGATGGTGAAGAGTCTTGCCTGACTTTTTTCTCCCCTCCTCTCTCACGGACCTCAACTGCTTCACATGTATGAGCGCACTTCACTTGTAGAGGGAGAAAAAGACAACTGTCCGAGATAAAAATGACTCCAATTGCAGAAGATTTTCACCCTAATTAGGCTGAGATTTTGTCCCCCTCTGCGCGAGTGTCCACATTCGGTGGAGAGCCAAAAATATTATTGGAATATTCATTAGCGGACTCTCAGACCTTTAATATCGATTTAATGTAAGGAATTGCTGAGCATTTTGCTCCGTCTCGCTGTCCGGCAATCCAGTCTCCAATGAGGTTGAGCCGAAGAGCAAAAGAAGGCAATTTTATCGCAAAGTGGATCACCACATGCACTAAATATCGCTTGAGAATGTTTTAAACTCTCTTTCTATATTTTATACGTTAAGCTGTATATGAAATATAAAAACAGGCAGATGATATCGCGGAATGATTGAAGCTGAATTTTTACCTTTTTCTTGCCCATAATATATGTTCTTGCAGGCATCTTTTCCTTTTATATATTTCTTTCATTACACCCCTCTCCTGTGCATGGTGCTTTAGATATGAAAACACATTCACTTCGAATGGAGTTTCGAGAAAAAGGATTAAAAACCCGACTGTCGTGGGGAAATAGAGAGGATAAAAACAGCTCATTCCTTTGTCATTCACCTACAGTCTTGTGTGCGGCATGCTGGCGCAGTGGTTCACATGTGATTCCTCTTCGATAGCAAGCTCGTGTTCCATCCTTTTGGCCGCATCAGCATTTTTGATATTGCACTGTTGCGCTTCTCCTCGATGGTGGATTAAACAACATTTCCACAGCACGACGATAATTTCTGAGACATGATTGAAAATTTTTACCACGAGACATCCCCATCAAGTAAATCGAGCTTCTGACAGTTTCTCCCACAGAGTGAGTGGCAAAAGACATGAGATTTTTGTCATGTTTCACTAATTGCAAACGAGCAAAAAGGTGTAATTCTCTAATGATGCCTCAGCGATAGGAAGCGCCACGTGAGAAATGTTTCAATGTCTCATAAATAAACTCATCTCAGGAAGACTCTGTGCAATTGTACATGGGATTGGTGAAGAGGAAAACTGATGGTATTTGCCAGCGTAGAATCATCCATGGAGTTGAGAGAAAAGGGACACTGGAAATGGGATATTTGTATGGGTAATAAATATCAATTGTATTGGAAATTGAAAGCAAATAAATACGTCGAGGAGATTACCACTGAAAATCCATTAAAGTTGAACCCTGAAGAATATACAATCGTGTAGGAAATGTCTGTAGTTATTAAAATAATTGGATTTTTCTATCCCATCCTGGCGCCCTTCGTACCTCCCTCTCCTCTTTTTTTCGCCCCCTTTCCAACCCAAACCTCCCGTGATATTGCGAAGGTGTACACTGGAAAAGTACCGAAGAGCTTCAATTTCTCAGAAAATGTTTAGCTATAAATTGGATTGGCAGTTCACAGGAGAGAAATATCGCCGATATTGGAGTGATATGGGAAAGTTTTATTCACTGCCTTTATCCGCACCGAATGAATTAAATGAAGCTGAAGAGGAGAACACTTTCTACTAAATAATGCTAATTGATTTATTGAGTTGATGGAGAAACTTTTCACATTTTTTCCCCGGGCTTCATGGGAATCCTCAGTGAATAATTTTCTGACTTCCGCTTAGGATTAAATGCACATCACACACTCAAGTCTCAGCCTGTGACATATTAGGAGAACCATTCGCGCAACCAGTCAAGCAAATTCACCAGCATTTGCGAAGGGGTTATCAATTATTTATATCACTGCACTTTACTTAATTAATTGAATTGGGTATGTCGAATTTTTAGGGTGGTTAAAGAAGCGAAAATGTCCTCGGCATAAATTGTTGCCCTTTTCTGCGGATTGAGCATTGAATAATTGCTCATTTTCCGGGAAGTGACGTGGAAAACGTGAGGGGAAAGCGGAGCAATTTCGAATTTCCCGCTCTTCTCTTTGATGAGAAGCAGCTGAAGGACATGGAAATGGAGAGAAACTATTCCTTTTCCACCAACAGGAGAAAATTCATAATTATATAAATGGCAAAGGGCGCGCAATGGAAGTAAATAAGGCATGAATGTGGATTCATTATTTCAGCAAATAAAAATTTCACCCCCGGCAGTGGCCCATCATCCGGCACAAGTGTTTTTCCTGAAATTTCCATACACACATTCTCAAGTTGAGTGAAGCCGGTGGAACTACTCACATGGGGCATACACTCTGCTTACATATTTGATACGCTTGAGGACTTTCTGACACCCACCCCGAGGCTCTCGCCACATCCACTTGAGGCATCCACCCCAGCCAATCCAATAAAAGTGGCATACATATTAACAATTGGCAGTGCTACATATTTCCACACCCACACCCATCTCGGACGATGAGGGCGAAGCTGAAGTGAGCTCGAACGCATCTGGCGCTCTTGCTAAGGCCCTGTTTTCCCGTGGTTGCAGAATATTATGTCTGGGTGTAGCTGCAAATGTTTGCTCTTTCCATTTTGACGGGTACTCCCGGAAACTCATATATAGTAAAATTTCATTTGTTGTACCCACACTAAGAGTGACACAACACAGTCTTTGCATATGCGACCAAATGGGAGATGCGCTCCTGAGTCTGCACAGCTTCCGATCTTCGCAAATTCATCCCGAGCGCCTGTCCTGGAAGCCCTCCCCGGAGCTTTTTTAGCGGTTCCTCGTCGACACAGTCAAACATCCGCGCTATACATGGGAATTTTGTCAATATTTAATGAGTTGGAAGAGCGCGCATCTCATGGCGAGAGCAAATTGCAAAATTTCCCGGATTTGGCGGAAAAGTTTCGCCAAGGGAAACTTCATGGATTAAGATTGTGCCATTATTAGTTTTCCATCATCTGCAAATATTTACTTAATTTTCGAAGGCATTTTCGCAAAAATAACAAATTTCAGAAGGGAGGGGAAAGACAGCTTGAAATCCGTCAAATTTCGCTGAAAATCCATATAAATTTTCATTCACTTTCATAAATTTCATCGAGCATGGCTGTGCCTTTTTCCCCAGAGAACACCAGTGTGGCACAGAGTCCCCCATACAGTTTTGTCTTGGATGGTAAAGTACAACATTTGGTCGGGTGCTTTTCGCTCCAAGAGATGCTTTGTAACTTCCTAAACAAAGCTCCAAGATAATGCACTTTTTTTTCCAACCACCACTCCACGGCATCTCCTTGTCTCCCTGTTTTAATTTTATAAACTCGAAAATGCACCTCCTCAATGGCTGGAGGTGCGGTGCAAAAAAGACTTGGTGATTCAGAAAGCAAAATGTTTAGTTAAGACTCGTTATCGTGTGTCGTTAAATTTACAGCGAAAAAGGCAAAAGTTTTTTGAAACACAACATTAACTTTTACTCCTCATCTTTGTCTCTGCGCTAAATTCCGCGGTGAGTTCTTGTGGGGGTGCTTCACCCTCGGAGCTGGAGAAAAGAGAGGACGCTCAAGCTGAAACTATACTTGTCGTGACCCGAGGGGGAATTTCTGACAAATGACAGAGGAAATGTTGAGTTTATATTCCTCCCACTAAAATTTAATACCGTCTGAATAACAATAGTTTCAATTATGTGATTTATACGGTCACATGGAGAATGCATTCACAATATCGAGCTCATATTGTGCATGTCCCAGAAGCATTTTGCTGGCTCGGCCACCCAGTCAACCCCCCACGGACAAATCTCTCAGGCAAGAGAGAGAAAATGATTTAAATTTTTGTAAACACAAAAGAAAGTCAAATTGAAAATTCTTCTCTTTATGAGATTTTTTCACCCTTCGCAGAATGTATTCATTCCAGTTTGAGGGCGGGGACAAGATACGGCGATACACACAATAATACAACATACTAAGAGGGTGATGATAGAGAGTCTCTTGTATTGCTATTGTCAGCACTTCTTTTTGCCACACTCGTCCTGTGTCTCCACTTTTCACCCACCGAAAAGACAGGCGACACAGGGATACTTGAGAGCATTCAGCGGCAAAATTCTCCCCAGTCATCGGCAAACGATGGTAAGATTCCATACAAGTGCAACGAAAATGTTTCAATATCGGAATGGTGGAGTATTAAATTTGCATGCAATGGCTAAGAGATAGGGGACACCCTTACAAATTTATGGCAGTTAGATTATAAATATTTGCCTTCAATGGCTTTCAAGAAAGGTTAGTACACCAAATATGTACGTTACATTGTACAATATTAAGATTCCGGATAGATTTACACAGTTATAGTAAGCGGTGGATTCAGAATTAGACTACTAACTCAACTGTGAACTCACCATTTGTAGCACCGGCTTTATTGACACTGGTTGTACTGGAAAATCCGGGAAACTTCCGCCACCCTTTGCGACTCCAGAAGCTACTTTTGCTGGGCTTGGGCGTCTCTGAGCAGTTGCTGCTGGGCCCTGGATCCTCGGCCGGACGCTGGTGCGTCTTGGCGCTGCTGTAGGATGAGCAGGAGCGCGTGGAGAAGGACGATATGCCGGGATCCTCGTGTGATCGTTGCGACGATCTGCAGCTGCCGCCGTAGATTGATCCTCCGCCTCCGGCACTGGGTGTCGAGGATCGCGTGGGGAAGGTGGACATGGCCGAATTCGTCCTGTGATATCGTAAACTCCCAACATAACTAGCACCACTACTGCTCCCACTGAAGCCACTGTCGAGATCACCTCCACCGCCGATCGCCTGAGAACTCACGGGCGACAGCAGCTCATCCGTTGGTCCCACCGAGTTGAGGAGCTCGGCTAAGTTCTCAGGCTCCCGCGGCGGCTCCTCCTCCGTCGGGCTGTCCGTTGGGGAGGCTGACGGCATAATCATGGCCTCCACCGAGAGATTAAGCTCACCCAGAACGCGCCTGTGGCGATTCTGCACCCTTCGAAGCTCCTCCTCCACCATGCTCTGATTCAGACTGATCATTGACTGACCCGACGACAAGATCCTTATCCGGCCATCGCCTCCGATCTCTTCGTAGATGTTCTCCTGCGTGCCGTATCGCGTGGTGTACGTGTGCCTGTCGCCGGGCGTTGTGGAGTTGGCCGAGTTGCGGCAGGACTTGGACAGGAGAGCCCTTATCGAATTCGGCGGTGGCGGCCGCGATGGGCCGGCGGCGATCTGCGTGGATGTCCCCGGAATGCCAGGGACTGGCACGTTGGAATGGCGCATGGCCGCACCGGGCTCGTAGTACGCATACGAGTAGTCTTGATGGTACATCGAGTGGTTGTGCAGGGCTGGACCGTAAGAACTAGTCGATGGCTCGTATCGTTCCATCGTGGCAGCTATATTATTCCTGGACCATTTTATCTGTAAAAAAAAGAGAAAATATGAAAGAGAATTAAAGAGCCCGAGAATTGGCTTTCATGGGAAATGAAATGCTTTCATTTGGCGACAAAAACGCTCAACTTCGTCTCGTGTGGTGTTACTAAGTTACTAAGCGGATTTAACTGCTGGAAAAATGTTTGACTCTTCCTGTGCAATTATTGCTCTAGTGGCCTAAATCTGTTGGTGAATTCACACGAAACGTCTTCCACAGCTGCACACTCATATCACACAAGGTTATTTAATATTGATGCTTCACTGTTGAGCTTTAGGTGGTCTAATTTGCAATCAAAAGTGCTGCTGAACTTACTAATTGGGAAAGAGTTAAATGTAGCATATCATGTCTGTGATTCCCATGCGTCAATAATATTATTTTTCAATTAATTGCTCAGAGCGAGGCTCAGAGAATTATTTTCATAGCGTCGTTCGTGGTTTTCTGCTGGTGTTCGAAACCACGCACGAATATCAAAATTTCATTAAAAATTTGTGGTTTATTTTCAACGACCAATGTGATAAATTGAATAAAAATATGTGCTAAAAATTAAATAAAGCCTGCAAACTACCATAAGATAATTATTTGCTCAATTAATGGGTAACTTGTTATCAGTTGCCATTTAAACTGTGCCATCAACACGATCATTTGAGATGAAAGTCAATGGAATAGTGGAAAATTCTATTCTGCACTGAAGTCTATTATTTAAATTTGACAAAATCCATCCATAAATTATTTGCCCTGATAACAACACTTCTAATGGAGAACGGCCAAGCTGTTTTTGTCTGTCGCTTCGACACAACAAAGACCCCATAAAATATTTCTTTGGGGCGCCAGGAAGTGCATGCCCGGCGAGAGTGTGCAAATGAATGCGGTGGCGAGAGTGGAAATCGATGGGGATGGCCGGTGGGTAACAAATGACCAACCTGTGGCTCACTGCTGACGGCGGCCGCCGAGCTGCCGGCGATGCCGTTCAGCGCGCCGCCCTTGTATGCCTTAGTGGGCGCGGGCGGCTCCTCCAGGCACAGTTCTATGCTGTCCGGATCGTCTGGGTAGCAGTGATTCTTCCGCGGGGCCTTGGCGGCACCGGTGGGCGAGGTGCCGTTGTGGGGCGGCGGTGGGCAGTCAGGCGGCGGCGGGAAGAGCGGGAAGGGCGGGTGAGTGGGTGAGCAGAGGTTGGAGTACCGGCCTCCAGGGTACTTGATGGCGATGTCGTCTTTGGGGTAGCGATGGTGTTGCTTCTGGTGGTGGTGCTCGTGGTGGTGCATTGTCGTAGGCGCCTGATGCAACTGCGGATGCTGAAACTTTCCCCGGCGCCCACCACCCACTGTTGTCGTGTTTGACTCCATCGTGCATTGCTCACACGGGGAGGCCAATATGTCGATTCGGGTGACTGAACTCTGTCGCCACTCTGCCAGGGGAGAGAGAGAGAGAGCAGGAAGAGAAAAAGCGGATATTATTGCACTGTTTTCCTCTGATACGAACGCCCTTCCGGGACGTGAGAAAATTGACGGTATATTGGGGCAAAAAGCGACGGAACTGGAGCGTGGGTTGGGACACTGAGAGTGCCACCGGGTAAGCGATGTGCAAGATTCAATCGCAATTTCGTCCTCCAGAAATCTGCAATTGACTTTTCCATGCAGACGCTTGCAGAAAAAAAACTACGATACATGAAACATCAGATATGCTGTTTATAACTTTACTACTATCCAATATGCTATCATCCGGATGCTGTTGTGCTTTATCTTTGACCCTTTGGGCAGTTTGAGAGTCTGACGGTATAGTGAAAACTGTTCAAATTCAAAGACAATCAGTTCAGTTTAGATCCGTTCCACCATTTATGTTGCAATTAAATTATTTCAAATCTGAATAATTCAGAAGAATTTCTAATGCGACTAATATTTTATGCTTTCTACATAGTAAATTTACCCAAAAAGTTACGATCCATAGCGAATGATTGAGGAGCTTCATGAATATTTTGCGACAGATTTTGGGTGGTCTTTTGTGTCATATTCAATATTTTCACATTTAAATGTCATTGAAAAAAAATATAAATTCCTCGCCCACTCTTCGCCAAAGAATTTCTCTGCGCTCTTTGACATTTTCTTTAGAAAAAGACTGACTCACAACCGCGCGGAAGTGTTTCATGTGGATACAAAACGATCTGCTTAGTATGAAAATCCTTCAGTCATCAATTCAATAATCTCAGCAAGAGATGAAGAATAGAGTCTCTAATTTGAGCCCCATTGATTTGATATTCAGTCGACTGGCTTCGCCTTTGGTGACGATGTGCTAAGAAATGCTTAACTAATTACATATGTGCACTATTGGATGTGACAAATGGATTGACCGGCAATCTTGTGCCTCGCCTCTGGGAGTGCTGTGAAAATCCATGCTACAAGATGCCAGCAATCTCTAATTTCTTCCACAGCCTTTTCTCTATTCAATTTACCAAACACTCTCAGTCCATTCATGAATTACAACCCGAGGCATCGAATGGAGAGATAATTGTACGGCCAACGAGAGAGTGACGTATTATTCCACTTCGTAGCAGGACAGAGAATCCTTGGCACAGACTACTTTTCTTATGGAAACAGTCTCTTTAAGGTTGAAAAATTAATATTATTTACGCCTCGCAACGTGAAGATTGGCTACAGAGTTTTACACCTAGTAATGCCGAGGGATATCATATGAAAGAAGAGAAGAACAATTTATCACAATTTAATATGTAATTGACAGCTACCAGTGCAGAAAAAATACCCAGTCAGACCCGATTCTCATTTAACACGCAGCATTTAAGAGAAAATATGAATGAATTATTAATGCTTGCTGATGCTTGGGTCTCATAATAACCACGAAATGTTGATAAACATGCATATTCTTAGACCTTTTCTGATTCTCTACGGAAGACAATCCCTGAAATTTCAGAGACAAGATAGACTGAGAGATTTCATGGGGAGCTGAGATTGTCTGCAAATCCTCTGCATCTCAGCTATATGGTTTTCAGATGACATTCCATAAACCATGACATATGCAGCAAATGCAACATCTTAATAAAGTCTGTGCTACATAACATATCTCGAGACTCAAATCCGACCTTTCACTTTGGTCAAATTGAATCAAATCTTGTCTGGCGCTATAGAAATTTCCCACTTGCACAACGCTTCACACAATGTATAGCGAAGCGAGATTGAGCAATATTAAACATTAATGTGTTCACAAGTACTTAGTGATATGTCACCGCGGTGATTGCTAATATCTCCTCTGTTTCAGTTCCTTTGCTCATAAATTAACACGAAATACGGTGTATTTCGCAAGATTTGATACCATAAATAACATTTTAATCATCCACGAAATGCATTAAAACGAGTATCTCCAGCCAAAGGAGCTTTATTCTCCAGTCGAAGTTTTATTAAAAATTAATTGCATCATAATTATCTCGAAGGTTGATGTGAGAATCCCTGTGAAAAAAAACTTTCCCGTCTCATGGCTGTGTTGATGCGGGGAAACCGAGAAGAAAAGAAGAGCGTGAAGAAGTTTTCTGGCGAGTCAAGAAATGCCCATTCTTGAGCGATGATATAAAAGAAATAATTTTTCGTGGTTTCAAATCGGATTTAAATTATCATAAAATGTTTGTGGTGTAGTGAAGTCGAGACTTTTAGAGTGTATTTAAGTGATAAACGATTAGCATTCTCAATTTATGAATCTTGTTTGACTGGCTCAGATGGAATAAAGGAGGAATGTCTTGAGGTATGAGGCACTTCTTTCATCTCCCAAACACTCTGGGGCCTGTAATCTCTGGCTGGTGGTTTCTGTGTTGAGACTTGCCATTCATAAGTAAATGATTTCAAATAATACCTCACAATGGCTATAGTGTGTGGTTCTTTCGGCCAAAAAGTTAAAAATAGGGGCTTTCTGTGGAGGCAATAGAGGCTCAAAGTGGAGGTTTTCTCTCAAATCCTCCATGCACCCATCTTCTTCTCATGTTAGGAAATTCAAAACCTGCGAGAGATTATCGGACGATGAGTGGAAAAATGTCTTAAATCTGTCGACATGGGTATATTTTTGCACGTCGTCGCCACTCAAAAATTCTCAGTGGTGCGCCACCAAAATCACATTTCTGGCCTTTCAGCCTATCAAATTTCATTAACCCGCCACGAAATTCTGGACGGTGGATTTCTGCAATCCGCAGATCGTCCTGTGTGTAAAATATCTCAAATTTATGCACTTTGTCCGTCGTTATGTTGGATATTTTCGAAGGGGGGAAGTCTTGAATTTATTGCACACGAATAAACATGTCGTTTTGCGTCCTTCTCACCCATCTCTGAAACTTTTCCCTCAATGAAGTCGTGCACACGAGATGGGGATTAAAATAGAATCGTATTTTTGGCTTTAACTCTTCTGCAATCATCTCTTTTTTGCGCCCTGTCAGTGGAGCAATTGAACAAGACTGTGAAATCCAACCGACATCCCTCGAGATCGATTGGAATGCCGTGGAAAATTCTCAGTGGCTTTTCCAGAGGGAATGGGGAAGCAAAAGAATGAAGTCCTATTTGATACAGTGTTGCCACTGCGGGAAGCACTCTCTCGAGACAATCATTCATCAATTGCGATGCTCATGTGGAGGAATTCCACAAATATTTCCCTACAAATCCGTGCACACGCTTCTGGGAATATATTGGTCCACACGAGAGATTGAGTGACCCTTCCCAAAACAAGCATTTCGTAGGCTTTCCCTGTCTAAATTGCATACCTACTTTGATTTTAACAACTCTCACTCAGAGTGATCGACTGATCGTGCTGAGCAATTTAGCTTCCGTGAATGCAACCAAGACCCGAAGATGTTGTCAGTCTCGTAAGATCATTACCATTTCCTCTTGAGCATCATTTAATGTTCTGAGAAATATTTGTGGCAAAAGCTGCGATGAACATCAACCGCCCATGCATAGACAAACTGTGCCCAAACCATTTTTATTGTTGCACTTTTTCCGCTCATCAATCTCTTCTGGAATTTTATTCAATTGCGAATTGTCACCCAGTTGAACGTCGGACCCGTGACACTTGGCAATTTTCCGCTCTGGAACACACCAAACAAATACAGGATTTTTTCCCCTATGGCCTTCATTTGAAGCAGGAGAGTTTCACGTTTGCACTCCCCATTGCTCGTTAATTTGAAGTTGAAACGAATCTGTTTCATTTAGCGCCAGTTGATAGACCCTCTCCCCCTCCCCCCCCCCCCCCCACTACACCGCAGACCTTGTAAAAAAGTGTCTGTGTGCGTATGTGTGCAGGATTGTCAGAGGAAATTATAGTTTCCTCCAAAAAGTCCACCACCAATTTACAATCAACAAAATTTTTCCGTCTATTTATTTTCTTGTCAAGCTCCAAGCGGAATTCCCAATATTCTCACGGATCTCTCAACCCATTTAGTGGCTCTCTTCCTTGTGTATCTTTCACAACTTTGAAATACACAAGAAAATACAAGTACCGCGGCTTTCGGGAATTCTGGCGATGGTATGTCGTCATGTCGATGGTATGGCAAGTGAAAATATTCTTACAAAAATGTGTTTATCTTATTTTCGTAAATTATCTCCAGTATTTATTTAAAGCTCATGTTGATATTCGAAAAGAAAAATGAGTGAAAACAGTTGAGTCTCGTCGCGAGGGATTTCCCCATACAATCCCGAGATTCCGTGTTGCGAGAAAAGACAAAATGCGGTCGAGAGAGAGGGACTTTTGGAAATTTTCTCATGAAATTCTCGAGCATTTATCTTCCTCGGGCCCAGCATAAAAAATGGGAGACAGAGCATTTAAAACCTATAAGCATAAATAACAGGAAAATACTGCACCTGAAGAATCTCAGATCTTTTTTTCCCTTCGTTAGCAGAAACGATCTATAAATTACACCACAATTTACCATCGACACTCGGAAAATTACTAAGTAACTACACAGTGTCATGTTAAATTAGGGAATGAGACGATCTCGTTTTTTTTTTCAATTCCGCCACAGCGCAGAGTTGCCCGAAAACATTTTTTATGGGTGATTTTGTGTTACGAGTAGCTATATATGTTCTGTCTTTAGAAATTTATTGCCCGCATAATTTTCAATTAGTTGGTGTCATTTTTCACAAGAGAGCCTCTCCACGAGCAACTTGGCTCGCAGATGATGATTATTGTGGGGTATTTTGGGCCAGTTTTACATTCATCCTCGGCTGCCACTATGCTGAACGCATGAAATTGAAGAAAATGCCACAAATCGTCACAACAGCCTTTAAATGTATAATTTAATTGCTGTCACTGATTCAATCACAACGACTGGACCACCAACAGACACCAAACACTGTAAGAATGCAATAAAATTAAAGCTTTATTCGAAATCAATTTCATGCACTGAGAGAAATGCAGTGCATT